ATTCTTGGAACAAAACAGTTTTAAGTTACTTGGAGCTTAAAATAGCAATTTAGTTTATTTTTGTTTGCTGCTGTCTATTGACTGCTTATTATTTTACACACTGTTTATGTAATCTAATGTTTTATGATCTTATGTTGTTAAATATAATAAATATATTTGAAAAAAGCGATCAAAAATATAAATTCAATAACTTAAATCTATAATTATAGTAAATTTTAAACCTTTTTTTTTGTGTATGATTTAAGAATTTTTTACAATTTTTATTTTGTCTAATCCTAACTTTAATAAAATCTATTTTTGGCATCAAAGTTTAGATTTGCGAGGCTCTGAACCATTTTGCTCATGGCTTAGAAGGAAATAAAAAACCAACATACATTTTTCCAGGTTTAAAAAGTCCAGAAATTGTGAGGAGTTTAAATGAAGTTAAATCAACATTTATGCGAAATCTCGAAGTGTTAAAAAATGTCAGGCACACAATACTTGATGTTAAGGTAAAAAATTTATTATTTACTTTTTTCAGTCTGGTTTTTCTCAGTTTTAATTTCTCAGTTTCTCATCTTTTAAATTAAATTATAAAATTTGCTTACATTCTTGAAATTTAGGCCACATCTTGGCATGATGATTACAACTCATTTAAATCTTCAATTAAAGATATAGAAGTCATGATTCAAACTATATTGAACTCAGCATTTGAAACAATAAACACTGTCCAAGATGGTGCAGAAGTATTAGAATGTTTTATACATCTTTCTTCAAGAGAAGCTATTCGACGATGTATTGACAAGAAAACAGTTGATATTTATCATTTATTTCAAGGAGAACTAAATGCTGTAAAAAGAGATTTTAACTTACAAAGACCAGATATTTCTATTCTATATCCGAAATATGCTGGATTAGCTTTATGGGCTCGCACTTTAAAGAAAAGAATCGATAGACCATTTTCTGCACTAAAAGAAGCAACTTTTCTTCCCAAGGTTGGACTTGGTAAGATTTTTAAAAATAGTTTTCATTGCTGTATTGATATTTTTTTTTTACAAAATTATTTTTTAACAAGGTGACGAAATTAAGCAGCAGTATTCTCAATTGGCGCAAGCGCTTGATGAATATGTTCGCAAACTGTTTAATGAGTGGACAAATACTGTGGAAAAAGACACTGTTAAACTTCTTGATGTCCCTCTGATGTGCAAGAACTCTCAAAAAACAGGAATGCTTGATATTCATTTTGACAGGTTATATTTAATTTGAAAAGACTTTTTTTCTTTTTTAATTTTTTAATGCAATTTGTTTTAAATAATCAACTTAAAAACATTCTTTCTATAAATCACCTAATTTGATTTCAATAGGTCTTTACTTAAGTTGTTTCAAGAAATAAGTTACTGGGAAAAACTTTTGTTTGAAATTCCCCACTATGCTGCTAATGTGTATTCTAAAAGAGAAGAGCTGAGAATGTTAAAAGAAAATGTACTTCTTGTAGTATGTGATTACAATAAAATTGTAGCTATGCTAAATTCAGAAGAACGGGCACTTTTCAAGGAGAGAATCCGGTTTCTTGATAAAAAAATTCAGCCTGGCCTTACCAAGTTGACATGGGCATCAAAAGGTGTTTCTGAATATTTTGTTAGTGATTGTCGACTAAACAGTTGCAAACTTCAAGCAGTTGTTAATCACTTTAAAGCCTCAAACATATTGATTTTAAAAAATTGTAGTTTAATCAGTGAAAATCTTTTATTAAAAATTGATCCGAAACGAGTGTATGAGGATTCTGAATTTGAAGCTGAACAAGAAAATCATCAAATTTATGTAAAATCTAAATTAACAAACCTTCATTATGATATTATTAATACACTTAAAAAGATTTATGAAGTTTTTCGATCAGACGGTCCTGAAGTAATTAAATTTTTATTCAACTTTATATTTTTGTGTATAATTATTAATTGCCATTGCATTCATTCTTAAAGTGATTATTTTTAGGTGCAACAAAACTGGCTTAGTTTTGTCGAAAAAATTGACAAACTTGTTGGGGATGCTTTTAGGCTGAACATAAAATGGTCTTTACTAGAGCTTTCTCGATTAATAAATGGAGATAGTAAAAGTTCTCCAAATCCTCTCTTTCGTGTCAAAGTGGTATTAGAAGAAAATCAAGTAGATTTTTCTCCTAAGTTAAAGAAAATTGCAGATGTTGTGAATTCGGTTGCTAGCTGTTTGACAAACTGTCTTAGTTCTTTTGAACGTCTACCATCCATACTTATTTCTCATTATACTGGTCAACCGGTAAGAAATTAACTTGTAGAATTAGATATTGCTTTTTTATAGCTTTACCTTGAAGAACTCTTATAAACTTATTATTGTCTAATATTTGCATTTATGTTTCTTTTTTTCTTTAAATATTTGCTATGGAAATATATATATATATATATATATATATATATATATATATATATATATATATATATATATATATATATATATATATATATATATAAATATATATATATATATATATATATATATATATATATATATATTTATGTAAAAACTTTTTCATTAATCAGATTTTAATCTGTTTATAAATTTATTTGTAGTCAATTAAAAAGGTTATAGATGACGATGACGAGACAAAAAAATTGCAGTGGATCATCAATAATGGAGTCTCAAAAAACGCTGGAGAACTACTAAAGTATCTAACAATATGGGACAGTTATAAAGAAATTTGGGAACTTGATAAGGAAGCTTTTATAAGGCGCTATCAAAGGTTAAATCCTCCAGTCTCTTCATTTGATGCTGATATTGCAAGGCAAGCTGTTTAGTTTACACAATTTGTCTACTTTAATACTTCATTATTATTATTATTATTATAATATATATATATATATATATATATATATATATATATATATATATATATATATATATATATATATATATATATATATATATATATACATATTGTCGCCTCAGAGCAAAAATGTTATATCTACAAGTTTTGAAAAATTGAGATGAACGTGTAGATAAAATACTATCCGTATTAATTTAAAGGAAATATTTTGAAATAAATATAAAGTATTGAATTATTATTAATTTCTGAGAAAATCATTTTATTATAAGTAGCAAAATTTTGATTTGTGGTATCTAAACTAAGTTTGTTTTCATTGCCCTGAAAAATGCAAATTTTTTAGATAGAACATTTTTGCTCTTAGGCAACGATATGTTATCATTTATGTATACATAATATCATAATCATACATTGTTTATAGTAAATCAGAGATATACTATGAATAATGTATAACGAGATCCACAGGGATTAGTCCTTGGGCTTCTTTTTTTGCGTCTTTTATATTATTTACCTGCCAGATAATTTTACTTACAAACAAAATTATATGCTGATCATAGTAAAATCATCGGGGTCATAAACTTAGCATTTTATGTTGATTTTCTAGCATTTATGTTGATATGCTGATATCAATAAAGCTTTTGAATGATCATAAATTTGCTTAATGAAGGTTAATATTTTAAAGTTAAGGTTCTGAATGTAGATGCAGAATATGACATATATATGTGTAACCCCTGGTGACAAAAATTTGGCACAAAATAAACACAAGCAGTAATAGTACAACAAAAAGTTTAATGAACAAAAAGTTAGTACAAAATATTAAGAAATATATTAGTTTTTTACTTTCGGGACTGAAATAATGCTTTCTTGCCATTACGACGTATTGAGTCAACTTATTTGTATACATGTTCACACATGCCTTGTACAAGATTTTTATCAACTTTTCTTTAACAAAAATAGATTCTTTTTCTCAGCTGACCTGCATTTTCAGCTTCCAAATTGTTATCATACACGTAATATTTAAGGATTGAGCAGAAATTTTCTATTGGTAATTCTGGGACACATGCCGGATTATCAACTTTTGTTACATAAGGGATATTTTTCTTATTTTTTGAGGTAATTGATCACACTTCTAGCATAATGTGAAGAGGCCAAGTCAGGCCAGAACACATTACCATCACTGTGATGTTTGTTCACTGTTTGGTTAATTGCCAGTCTTGCAGAAACAATAAATAGTTTTGAAATTCCACAAGGGGATATGGTAATTCACACAAGAATATTTTTTTTCAAAATTGCTTTTGCGTTTATATTTTACATTTTTTGGATCATTTTTTGCTTCATCTGAGAAAAATCCAGCATTGGAATTTTTATTTGTATGTTTAAATGTAAAATAAGACTCATCCTCAATGACAAAGTCATGGTTTCTGAAGTTGCAACAAATTCAGAAACCATGACACTTCACACTTCCACACTTCAGTTGCAACTGCTTTAACTGGTTATCAGTGCAATCATGGATTGCACTGATAAACAGTTTTTTCTTAAAATAACAAATGTTTGTTTTGTTTTTTAATGTTTTTACAATGTAAGAATGATCACACTTGAATTTATTTGCAAATTTTTCTTGTTGAAGTTCCAGACCAGTTGTTCAAAAGACCTTTTAGGCGATTGATATTCTTAGCTGTCATAATTTTTGGTTTTCTGTCTGATCCAGGTTTATGAGACTTTGGCTCATTTTTTTCCACTTTGCGATATAACGTTTGATGGTTCTTTCGGGGTGATTAGAGGCAACAAAATACTCTACGGTGCTCTTTGTTTTAGCGTTAGGATGTAAATTACAACAGTTGTACACTTGTTCAATTAATGTAGTCGCCTTCATTTTTGGATAACTTTTTTATTAATTAATCTAAGTAAACAAAGCTTTCAGTAAAAGATAACTAACACTTTACAAACAAAACAACTAAAAATATAAGAATGGATAACTAAAAATTCATTAAGTTTTAACTTCTCAAAGATTGTGCCAAAGTTTTGTCACCAGGGGTTATATACATTAAGATGCATTGAAAAAGTTGGATTCTTTAAACATAATAGCAATAAAAAGTTGCCTTTTGCTTAAAAATTATCAAATTCAAAAAAAATATATAAGTAAATGATAGTCTTCAGGTGCCTTAAGGCCAGGAAAGGGGGCTAAAAAGTCTTTTTTAATTATCTATTTGCAAGGGGGCTAAAAATAATTTTTTTTTTTAAATGCTATGGTTTTATATAGAGTCACATTTTCTCTTTAATGTATTAGCGTATAATTTCTTTGGTGATATAGGTAATTAATTTCTTTGGTGATATAGGTATTTAATTATCTATTTGTAATGTTAATTGTAGAAAAAAAAAAAAATTAAAATGTGCTTTCGGCACTCTTTTAACCATTTTGGGAAAAATATAGTTAAAAGAAAAAAAATCATTTTTTAAATTAAATTTTTTTTTTTTTTTGACTTTACTGGAATTTTTGGATATTGAATATTCAGCATGTTATTGAGTTATAAATGTGCTTGCAGTACTTATTTCATTGAAACAATAAAATCCATATAAAAAAATGATATTTTTGTATCAATATGTGGTTATAAAATTAGTTTGCAATTATCATAAAAAACTATTTGACATTGTTAGTATTAATAAAATGAATTGTGTTAAATAAAATTATTATTATATAAATAAAATGGAAAAAGTACCGAAGAAAATTTTACTGTCAAAAAATTACCAAAGAACACATATCATTAATAAAAGAGCCTGGTACTTTGTACATCAGTAATATATCACTGTCAAATAGAACAGCAGTCGAAATCAAACAAAGTATTATAAATTACTTGTGCACAAATAGAATTTTGTTAAGTAAACTGGTAGCAATTCGATATGATGGCACAAATGTCAACACCGGGCAATCTAAGTTAGCATATTAATAAAGTAGAAGGAAGATATTTACAGTGGCTAGTATGTTAGCTTCATAGCAACACATTGCCACTGTGTTGTTTATTCCAATACTTTGATAGCCAGACAATCGTTTCTTGCAGATTTTCTGGACCTATAGGTACAGCATTATCAACATGTCAAAAAATGTTATCAAAGTCAGCATGCTCACTTGTGGAAAACAATTAGTCTGTTGTGTTATCTGTCTTCTGAACTAAAAGACATTATCAATCCTGTTATAAAACAATGTCAATGACAAAATGTCTATTTTGCTCATCATGAAAACATCCATCTTGCAATGATTACGAATGAGCAAAACCATGTTTCTAAATTTAATTAGTGCAGAGTTTTAAAAGCAAAGTCACAGCCAAATACCAGAGTTATACAATTTATTGTTCCTGAACTAAACTACGACATTTCTGAATACATTGATCTCATTGATAGGCTAAAGACTTATGAAAAAAAATGCTTCTGTTAAAATAATTGTTATTGGCCCTCAAAACCTTAAATGCATAAACTTTTAAAATGAAGTGAAAAAATAACTATATAAACCCTAGTTTTTACATTATATTGCCATCAAATAGCATCTGATAAAATTGCAAGACATATTCTTTTATTTTCTCCACAAGAAATTTATTCAAAATACTATATTCTTTTAGTCAAATACTCTTCAATATTTTTTCATGCAATATAAAAATTATATTTACAAACAGCAATTAAGGATTAAAATGGGTAAAGTGTTCATTATAAACATTATAAAGCTATGATTTTCTGCTGCCTAATTTAATAAATTGAATTATGGTAGCAGTTCTTTAAAGATGCTTACTGTTGAGAACAGTTATGCAGCATAACAATATTTCTTTTTACTCTGGATAATTACTGTTTTGTTTATACTGTGACCAATATTTATAAAAGTCTTGATGAATTTTGACAATTTGGTCTTTTGCAACTGAGAAAATCTTTAATGTGGTAGAAGACATTGTGAGTTTTAGGTGCTTGCACCAATTACCATTAAGTAACACCTATTGAAACTTTCAATTATTTCAGCTAAAGGATGAATCCAAAGTATATATATATATATATATATATATATATATATATATATATATATATATATATATATATATATATATATATATATTATATATATATATATATATATATATATATATATATATATATATATATATATGTATATATATGTCAGGCCTTCTTATAAGAGGCGTGCGATCGCATGCCTTATATGACAATGCATGAAGTTCTTTGTTTTAACGATTTAACCACGGCTCTTTGCAAGTTTTGATAATAAGCGGGTTTAAAATATGCGTTAAAAAAAACAAACCAAATTAAAATTAAAATAAACAATCCATAAACTGAGAAGAGAATAAAATCCTTAAAATAATATATAATACAAAAATCAACCTAAAAAAAATAAAATATTCAAAGAATGTTAAAATAAATAAAGGAAAAACCAGAAAAAAAAATCAAAACATTTATTAATTAATGTAAACTTAACAACAAGCCAAAGTAAAAAAAAAAATTATCACAGCTCTAATAATCTTTATTGTTCCTTCCCGAGAATAATTATGCTAATACAAGGGCGAAGTCATTGTGAGGGAAAGGGTCCCCCCCCTCCCCTTAGATTTTTTATTTATTTTTTAAAAATTGATGTTTAAAAACGTAAGTAACTTAGGCTGTTTAAAAGTGCCATGAAATTAAATAAAATTTTGTGGTGCAAGTTTAAAATTTTATTTTTAATAGGATGCATTTTTCAAAAGAAAGATAAAAAAACAAACATCACATTTCTTTAATTTTGCTTATGCAAACGTTGTCGTTTGATTAGGATTTTTCAAAATGAACATATTACTTCAGCAATTTTTTTCAAAATAATTTTCCGATCGTTAGTTTTTTATTTATTATAAAAAACACATATTTAATATGAAAAACAATTAATTTCACAGACTTAAATTAAAGCCAAAACGTTTTTTTTTCAATAGCGTCACTTTTAAGTAAATTAATTAAATATGCTATAGAAAAAAGTAATTATGTTTTAGCATGGTTTTTGCATGCGCTCACAAATGCATACATAATTTTAATTAAAATGAATGCTTTTGCAAAAACTTTAAAAGAAACCATGCTCAAACATTTCGATTGCTTTCTTTTATTGAGAAAAGCGATCATAACGTTTAACGATGGTTCCTTTTATGTTTTTAGCAATTGCATTAAAAGTTTAAAGCAAATGTATTCATTATAAATAAAATTTAACATGCATTTTTTAAAACTTTCTTATTTTCCATAAAGTGATGCAGAGGCTCTTTAACTTGTACAAATTCTTTATGCTGACATTGCAATATGATTTACATTTAATTATTTAGGTTAGAGATTTTGTTTGCATATTAAAACTTTTGCACTTTTAAAAGTTTTTTTATTGTGCATTTATCATTAATTAGTGCGCACTTTGCAAATGTGTAAAAAGAAGGTTTTTGAAAAATAAAAATTGAATAAATTTACCAAGCATCTTTAATATATTTAATAACTTATTAACTAGAATAAAAATTATTTGAATTTTATTTGACATCTTCTAAATTAGACTTTTGTCAATAAATAACAATCTCTTAAATTAGACGTTTGTCAATAAATAAAGATACGCAAGTCAATGTTTATTAAAAAAAAAAAAAAACAATATGTCACGCCCTGGGATAAAAAATAGTTGACAGATGCGATTGTTTTAAGATTATTGTAATTCCTTTTTTTTATTAAATAATTTTTTAATTAGAAATTATATTTCCATGATAAAATGGTTTGTAATTATTTTTTGATAGCTTCTGTACTCATTTTGCCTTAAACTCTAATCTAAATATTTTTTTCAATGATTGCCTTTAATTAAGTTGCATTAAAGTACTCAGGAAATTTTGTGGGAGTTTAATTGTAATTATGGAATCAATTAAATTAAAAATCGCATTTATTATTTTTTTATCACAATTTTTAAACGCGCTAATTATCAAAACTTGCAAAGAGCCGTGGTCAAGTTGTTAAAACAAAGAGCTATATGCGTGGTCTTATAAGGCATGTGATTGCACGCCTCTTAAGAGAAGGCCTGTATATAAATAAAATTGAAAATACATCATATACAGTGACATACTATTTTTTTAACTATTAAAATTTTTTAATTTTAAATGTGATATTTTGGCTCATATAGTTGAAGCCGTTATCAAACTAATACATTGATAACGGCTACAAAAATGATGTCATTGCTGCGTAATATTATAAATGCTTTTCTTAAATTTAACAAAAAATGGTTTCCAATAATGAGTCGTCACTAGGTTGTCATTATCTTGGATTAGAATTTTTTTTTTTAGATAGCAACATTGCAATCTGTCTATTTCAATTGCCTCCCTGATTTTTCTCGTATAATTATTTGGGATGACTGAAAGTGTTTTTGGATTATTCCAATTAATTATATCTTTGCAATGTTGTGCATGTTCGACAATTTTAGACGCTTTCCAGTTCGCTTTAGTTACGTTTTTTTTTATGTTCAGCTATTCGTATTTTTATCTTTTTTCTGGTTTCACCCACATAAAAAGCGTCACATGTACATTCAAGTTGGTAAACACCCGGGTAACTGTTTGGTGGTAGCTTTGATTTATTTTGGCATAATATGTTCAATAAAGATCTTCTAAAACAAAAAACTGTTTTTATGCCAACTTTTCGAAACTCATGTCTAAGAATAAGGCTTAATTTAGGAACCCATGGAAGTATTAAGGTATTATTTGTGTTAATTTGTTTGTGGCTTTTTGTTTGGGATGGTTTGTTATGTTTTACAATGTCTAGAAGTTGTTGCCGAGAATATCCATTTTCCATAAAAATATTAATTAGGAACTCAATTTTTTTTTCTATATTATCACTGGTGCATAAATTATAAGCTCTTGCAAAAAAAACCTTTAAATATTCCTATTGCAATATATGGTAATATACACGACTGCGGTTTTACAAGTGCGGTATATAGAAAAGTTATATTTATGAGTTATATGATTAGTTGAAATGCAGATGTCTAAGAAATTAAGTTGATCTTGATCGTTTTGGTATTCGCATGTGTATTGAATAGCTTTGTCTTGAGAATTTAAAAGTGTCAAAAATGATTCTGCTTTATCAGAGTTAGAAAAACGTGCATGGCAGTCATCAACATTTCGTTTCAATGTTATTGGTGCAACATTAATGGTTAATGCTGGTTGAATTGCATTATAATCAATATGTTGTAAGTAAGCTTCTGAAATTACTACCATTATGGATAATCCAATCAGACCAGAGTTTTTTAAGATATAAATTTTGTTATTCCACAAAAAATAGCTTTTACTTGGACAAAGTTCAATTAAATTATTGATGTCAGTTAAAGATAATTTAGTGCGCAGCTCAAGATCATATTTATCATTATATAAAATATTAGTAATAAGCTAAAATTGCCTTATCGAGTGGTACTGACGGATACAAATTTATTACGTTAAATGATACCTGAACCTCATTTTTATTCAATTGTCCATTCTTTTGCTTCCAATACAAAAGATGATGAATTTTTTACACAGGTTTTTGTTAAGCGTAGGTTGTATAAGCTGAACAAGATGCTGCCATAATTTATGTGGGGGTGTACCAACAGTTGAGACTAATTCTAATTTGGTAATCTTTATCACTTTTATGAGCTTTAATATATATATATATATATATATATATATATATATATATATATATATATATATATATATATATATATATATATATATATATATATATATATTTATATATTTATATATATATATATATATATATATATATATATATATATATTATATATATATATATATATATATATATATATATATATATATATATATATATATATATATATATATATATATATATATATATATATATAATGTGAACAATTTTTAGTTATGCGCAGTGATACTGATTTCACTCCTTCACAAATATATAAAATTATAAATACAAGTTTACACTTTTTTTGTTATTATTATTTTTGTTATAAAGCTTGTTTTTAATATATATTTATATATATAGTTGCTTTTATATATACATTTTATTAGTTATAACTTAGTAACTGTTGTGAATGAGGAATTTTTTTATTTTTTAGGTACACTGAAGTTGCAAATAATGTGCAGAAGGAGGAGACAATAATAACCATACAGTTCATACTTCTTGATTCTTCTCCATTAAAGTTTTCTATTCTATCTCATTGTAATGAGTGGCAAAATGGTTTCACAAGAGTATTAAAAGAAATGGGTACTGCAAAGCTCTCAGAGCTGCACAGTTACATGAGTACAAATTCTAAACTTATAAGAGCAGTTCCAGAAAACCTTGAGCAGTTAAAATACAGTATTAGTTTACTTGAAGAGCTACAAGCCAATCTTTTGAATATTGAATCAAATATACCCCCAGTGCATGAGCAATTTTCTATCCTTGAAAAATATGAAATTAATGTTTCTGAAGAGGTTATTTTTTTTTAATTGTTATTGTATAATGATAAAGTCAAAATATATTCTAAGTATATTTCATATTGCTTATATTTATTTTATTATATACATTTAATACTATCATTTTCAATTAAATTGGTGTGTTATTAGGTTCAAGAGCAACTGCAGATGCTTGGATCAGCATGGATATCATTTCAACAGTGTCTCATTGATAGTGAAATCATGTTAAAGAAGAGCAAAGATAGGTTTAGATCAGCTCTTCTTTTGCAAGCTGAGGAATTTAAGAAATCTGTAAATGCTCTAGTTGATGAGTTTGCACTTAGAGGACCATTTACATCAAAAACGTTTGTGGGAGAGGCATTAGCTTCAATTAAAGCTTTTAAGCAGCAAACTGATGTAGAGAAGGCTGAAGAAAAATCTTTACAAAACGGCCTTCAAATATTTAAAATTGAGCACCAGTCTTCAAAGCTTTTGCAGTTGTTAGAAACAAATATTAACTTCTTAGAACAGGTGAATCAGCTTTGAGTTATTTGAAATATGTAAAACAAATTTAAAATTAAATTTAATGATTTAATAATATTAACTTAATTATTATAAACTATAATAAGTTATTTTATTATCATTATAATAAATAAAATAAATCTAATTTTTTATGAGTTATTTCTGTTATCTTAAATGTAAATAATTTGTGATAATTTTTGAAACTTTTTTTTACTGATTGTTTTTATCTATTTGATGGTTTGGTTTTAATGGTCTGCTTTGGCTAAAATTAATCATCATATGTATTTTACAATATTATTTGTTATTCATGAGTGGCATAAGTTTAATTTAGTAGTTTTTGGAATAATTTTAAGATATGGCTGATAACTGAAGAATGGGAAATATTATGGGCTCAATGGAAAACAGAAAAGTTTACAAATCTTGTAACAACTGAAATGGAAAAAACATCTCAAAATTTGTTTAAACAATGCATCAAAATAAATCGAGAAATCAAAGATAAAAACTGGGAAATCAATGACACAATAAGATCCCGAATTGATCAATTTATTCGAACAATGCCTTTAATTCGTGATTTAAAAAATGATGCCATTAGAGAAAGACATTGGGACCAGATAAAAACTGCAATGCAAAAACATTATGAGCATCAAGACGATGATTTTACTCTTGAGAAAATTATAATTCTTGGCTTGGATCAGTTTGCAGAACAGATAAATGAGATATCTGCATCTGCAAGTAAAGAATTATTAATTGAAAAAACTCTGAAAGATATTTCCAATGTTTGGGAAATAATGAATCTAGATATTGTGCCATACAAAGAACGTGGCCATTTTAAGTTAAAAAGTACTGAAGAGATATTTCAAACTCTAGAAGATAACCAGGTTATACTTTATTTATATATAAGTATATTTACAAATTTTTTCATAAAGTAACTGTATATAATGTTAATACATATATATATATATATATATATATATATATATATATATATATATATATTTATATATATATATATATATATATATATATATATATATATATATATATATATATATATATACACACATATATATATATACACATACATATATATATATATATATATATATATATATATATATATATACAAGCATATTCGGGAAGCGAATCGATAACTGACCACAGAAATAATATTTAGTTGCAAAAAACTGGCCAGATATTTTAGTCGTTTTGAGAATATTTAAATTTATGTATGTTTCCTTAATTAAGTTCATTATTTTAACGTAAATTTTGAAATATTTTATTTATGGACATACATGGAAACAAACATAAACTCGAATGTTCTCAAACAATCTTTTGTGCGGAAAAGTAAAAAAAACACAAAAAACCCGCCAAATCTACGAACAACTAATTCTATTGGTTCAAAAAATACTAACGAAATTTCTAATAATAAATAATTAATAATCATCAAAGTTAATACAAATAAAAAAAATAATTTTAACCACTAATCCATTTTCCTCAGTGTACCCGATAACTGTTTCTTTCCCCCAAGAAAGAAAAGACAGTTAAAAAAAGAAAATTTTTCTTTTTTTAACTGTCTCTCATCGGTCCAGTTAATCTTTTTGCGCTTTTTTGTTTCAAAACGACTAAAAAATCTGGTCGGTTTTTCGCAACTAAATATTATTTCCTTGGTCAATTATCGAGTGCGATAGCACCCGCTTCCCGACCAAGCCTGTATATATATATATATATATATATATATATATATATATATATATATATATATGTATGTATATATATATATATATATATATATATATATATATATATATATATATATATATATATATATATATATGCATATATATATATAAGTTGTTTGTCAACCTAATGAACAATATATGGAGTATCTTTTTATTTTTTTTTATTTTGCAAACAACATTTTTGCAAAAATTTGCTCTATATAATGAGATATATCATAATAAAGTTTAATATTTTTAATACTAGAAGCCTTTCTTAAAATCACCAGTAGTGTTATTATTATATACAAAATTTAATTTTAATTTTAACAGGAAATGTCAACTAAAAAGTGTCATGTTATATTAAACATAAGATTTTTTTTTTTTTTTTTTACTTTTGAGATCCAAAAATACAAAAAGATGAAAAAAAGGTTCTTTAATAGAATTATTTGCACATTGATAATTATACATGGTTTTGAAAACCTTTTTGTTAATTATCCATTGTCCATTCATTAATTGTCTAAATTTAGAACTTGTCCATTTCTACAACTTGAAATATGTCCATTATGTAGCTTTCTTGTTACAGGATAAGTATTTTAAATAGTATATTACATTCTTACTACAACAAATAATATGGCTTTTCATGTTCTATATAGTGCCATTTGATGTTATAAGCGCTTTGACTTCTTGAAGATAGAACTTACATATTTTGCAACAATTATCTTTACCTTTAAATAAACCAACTTCTTTATTGGTTAATTGGGGTTTTGCAGAAGTAAGTGTTTTTAGTAGATTGGATGGTTGTTTAATTGCAATTACTGGCTGGATATTAGAAAAACTTCCTTTACTCTTTTATTTGAAGATAGATTAAGCATAAAAGTTGGTTTTAGTAATAAAAAGTTGGCAGTTCAGATTGCTGTAAAAAGTTGTAACTAGAGAAAAAAATTTCTTTAGATTGGTTTAGAGAAGCCAGTCCTTAGAGTTTTGCATTGTGAAATATTTTTCAATGACTTTACTAGGATATTCACATTCTTTTAATAACTAATTGCATGTAAACATCCTCCCGGTCTATCAACAACACTTACATGCAAATAGCAACTTATGGGTGAGTGAACACGGTGCTAAAGGTTCAGACAGAACACAATCATACATTTATACGTAAGTTACGGTTGAGGTAACACAAAAACTGACACCTCTAACTATATAACAGGTTAAAGTTAATAATTCCAGTATATACATGATAGATATTAAATAGTATTGATAACAATAAGTACACTTCCTCAACCTTTTGCTTAGAAAGTGAATACTACTGCGGATATTTACCATATATGTTTGATTTGAAGGCCCATAAATATATAAACACTACATTTTATAATTGGTATATAGTTACAAACAAAAACAGTATATAGTTACAAAATGGCTCATAACTACATATAGTGTAAATTAATTAACATTTAAAAATGTAATAATGGTGGATTTCAAATTAAGGTTGGGTCTTAAAGAGAACATAGAAAAATCAATGGATAATTTTTGAGAATTTAAATAATTTCATTAAATAATTTTTATCGCACTCCGCTTAAGAATGAGTTATATAGAAATTTGGTTTATCTGATTGCAATTTCTTCTGTTTTTGCGGAACTATAACCTTATCTAAGCTGCATTTTTTTTTTCTTTCAAAGATAAATTTAATTGTGAAACTTTTTTAAAAAAATGTCTTTTATAAACGTCATTTTGCAAATAAAAAAATTATGTACGAATTACAACTTAAAGTAAGAAATTATTTTTGTTCTGTGCAGGGCTGTGGAGTCGGAATCAGAGTCGGAGTTGCTAAAAAATATCGCGACTCCGATAGTAATATTTCTTGGTATTGCACGTGTATGTACAAAACATTCAATTAACCTTATGTTCATACTAAACTTCAAAGAACATTGCATAAATTTGTCAAAAAAAAATTTCAACTTATCGCGCAATACTTTTTTAAGAATTCAAAGAATTTTTCAAAAATTTTGCTTTGGAGTTGGAGTCGGAGTCGGAGTTGTACTCTAAAAATTTCAACAACTGGAGTTAGAGTCGGAGTCGTTACTTTTTTTTTACGATTCCACACCCCTGGTTCTGTGGTTACATAGCAGTTAAACAATCTTGTGATTGGCTACACACAAGCAATAATTAAATTTAAAACTAAATAATTTGAAGGATGGAATACTTAATTGAAAAAATAAAAACAGTTTTAATTTTACAAGCAATGTTTTTTTAATACTTAAAAAATCATTTGGAGAAAATCTTCACATTTCAAAGCAACAATTCATCTTTTACACAAATCAGAGAATTCATAAGAGAATTCTTTTATTGTGAATTCTTTTCTGTTAATTCTGCATTGTTAGATATTGGTTACATTTTATTATGCAAAACACTAATATACAAGTGCTCAAAGTTTAACACTTTAAATCACACTCACAAAAAAAAAATCCTTTTAAGGTAAATGGCTTAAGACCCATTCAGGATTCCTGCATAGCCAGCACATCACAGCAGGGATTTGGTGGGGTTTAAACTCGGAACTTCTAGCTACATAGGAAATGCTCTACCATTACACCACTACCGCAAAATTAGTTTTAATTAGTAGTAAAAATATTTTTTTTCTAGTTCAACCTTGGTGGAAGGTTGGTTAAATTGGGTAAAAGGTGACAAAGGGAAGGGAAGAGGTGACCAACATAGAATAAACTCCCTATATAATTTAAATGCTGTAAATTTTTTTACATATATGTGTGTTATGATTTTTTAGAAATGTTGTTTGTTGACATATTTAATTTATTTTATAGGTGACTTTGCTAACTCTTAAATCATCTCGTTATGTCAAACCATTTGAGTTTGAAGTTGATAAATGGGAGCGTACTCTTTCATTGATTGCAGAGATCATTGAATTAATTCTTACAGTGCAAAGACAATGGATGTATTTAGAGGTAAATGTCAAGGATATATATATATATATATATATATATATATATATATATATATATATATATATATATATATATATATATATATATATATCAGGGCTCGAATTAACGCAAAAAAATCTAATCGCAAAAAAAAAAAAAATCCCCCCTCCCCTTAAACCTTGCGCTTCTTTGCAGTAATGGGGGCGGGGAGAGGGAAGTTGTGTTAGTATATAATTGTAACTTTTGTACATAATTGTTCTACTTTTAATATATTATCTCTCATATTTAAATATAATCTTATAATTATCTTGTTCGGCAGAATTTAAAATAGCGTAAGTTACTGTTATTATTTACAACTTAAGTTATAACTTAAAGTTTAAGTTGCAGTTGTAATAAGCAATAACGTTTTTAATACTATTAAGTTATTTCTTTATGTATATATTTTACTTAAGTAAAATATATACTTAAAGAAATATGTAAGTATATATAAGTATCATTATACTTAAAAAAGTAAAAGTAAAAAAGTAAGAGAAAAAGCAACATTGCAATCAGGGCCGGTGTGAGTAGGTGTCAGGTGGGGGGGGGGCCATTATCACTTTTGCCGACTTAAAAAAAAAGAAAAAAAAAAAGGGTCCTCGTTTTTCAAAACTTGCCGACTGCCATAATGACATTTGCCGACTAACTGTCGAAAAGGGTCGAATTTGCCAACTAATGGTCAAATTTGCTGACTAAAAATCAGTGATGTGGGGTTGTTACACCCTCCCCTCCCCCCACACACCTCCTTTGCGCCGGCCTTGATTGCAATATCTAAACCACTTTAATGATTGAAAGAAAATTATTTAATACGTTCGTGCTGACGTTAAAACACGTGTTCATTTTAAAAAGTTATTTAAATTGTTAAAAGTTATAAAACAACATTAAAACAAACTGCAAAATTGTTTTAAAAATATAAAGAGCTTGGGTTAATGTAAAACAAATTTGTGACGCTGTTTTGTGTTGATTTATACAATTTATAAAATAAAACACGTTTAAAATAAAAGGAAGCAAATAAATAAAATTGATCTAGTTAATAAACTAAAACAAAACTTCATATTTGCGCCTATAGACCTATACAAGTTTATAATATATGGACCAAATGAGTAAGATCAAAGCATAAAAACATTAGATACCACGTCTTTTATAAATTATCGTTTCCTGATCAAGCGTACGATTAAAAATTTAATTATAATTAAGTTTTTTATTCAAATGGTTTTTAAACTGATGTTTTCATTCAATTTTTTTTTATTCTAATTGTTTTCCAAAAAAAAGTGAAACCAAAAAATTTTGTTTAATAAATCGAATTATATTAAGTATAAGAATATGCTTAAATTATTTTTTTAGAAAAAAATTTTTTCGAACAGAAGTAAAATAGTTTATTAAATTTTATTTAAAATTTTTATAATTTTTATTTTAACTTGCAATTTGCAATCACTGCTTTGATGTTTACAATAGAATGTTTCTACTTTTAAAACTATTTTCAAGAAAAAATATATTAAAACTATTTTCATAGAAAAAATATAACGTTCAAAAGGTTAAAAAAATTTACTATTTAAGAAAAAAAAACTTTCTCCTTCTCCCTTGTTTCATCAAACTTTTTTTAAATTTTTAAATTTTTTTTAAATTTTAAATTTCAATCACAAAATTATTTGAATAAGTGAATTTTAAGGCTAAATTTCTCTTGTTAAATTGATTTCTTTTTAAATAAAATTTCTGAAAACAATTGCGTATTTATAGAAAATGTTTAGTCTAGATGTCGCTGTAAATAAAATGAAAATATAAAAAAATGGTGTCGCTTTTTTTTATATTCTATTCGACATTTTTTGTTAAATTATTAGTTAAAAGCTTATATTATGTGTTAACAACATGTAAGATCTAAATTGAAACATTCCAGCCGGCGCAAGTCAGAAAATAGTTACGCTTGGTTTTTGTTGCGTTTTTAAAACCTTTTAAAACAAAAAGAATAACACGTATCAAAAATGGTTTTTATTCCGTGAAATTAACTATTACTATTTACCATAAATACCAGTTAAAGTATTAATAGTTTCACTGTTATGGAAACGTAGTATTATATTGTAATAACTTTCCGTAAGGAATTAACTGATAAAACCACTGATAAAAACATGCGACATTTAAATTTGACTTTAAAACCTCAAAATACACGTGTTAAACTCTAGTAAAACTGCCCGTAATATACACATGCTTTTGGTTTACGCCTGGATCGTGAAAAACACGTGCCTATATAGGTTTTATTTCCGAAAAAAAAACTAGATGTGCCGGTAGGGATGTCTATGGCTAACTTTTGCAAGTATATTAAATAAATTAATATAATTTTTAAATTAATACTTGAGTAACTGTAAGTTACTATCTTAACTCAACTGGTTGTTTTGAATTTAGGTTATAAGTTAATTTACTGTGATATACTCTTTCCATTCAGTAAAGTTAACTAAATATAACTTCAATAATTTCAAGGTCGTTAAAGCGAAAAACGTGAAAGTAAAAAAGTTGCTGGTTTTTTTTCGCACAATTTTACTAATAGAAATTTTATTTAATAAAAACGAATTTATATATATTTTATTATACTTAAAGTAGTAAAAATAATTATATAAAATTGTTTAAAAAAATAATAATTTAAATCATTATTATTAAGTTAATTTGGAGCAACATTTCTTATAAAAAAAGATAAAAATGCTGTTTTGTAAAAAAAATATAATGATGAAAAAATTATTTTTAACTTTTGTCTTTTTAATTTGCTTCTATGCAGAGATTAAAGTAGTTTAAATTAAAAACTTTATGTTGAATAAAAATCTTCGCGCGAAAGAGCAATTGATTATGCTTCTATTCCAAAACTAATGATCATGCTTCTATTCAAAAGCAAATGATCATACTTCTATTCAAAAGACAAACTTTGCGTGACATACTTTACTATGAAAACATTACTTTTAAAATTGCCAAAAAAAAAAAAAACTAAATTAGAAAAATAGTAAATAAACAACTAAAAAAATAAACCAATTGCAAAACAAAATAAACACTTTTATAAAAAGTTTTTTTAGAATTGCTTATTTTTTGCTCATTTTTAAAAACATATTTTTATCGATGATACCCCTTTAAAATGTGTTTTTGCTTAATATAATTATTTTTTGAGCTCACTTATTTTTATAGTTTTTTTTAAGAGAAACTTAATTTCATGCGTGCATTTAGAAATCAATTCCAATTTTTTATTTAATAAAATTCATGGTTCGCATTTATAATTATTTCAAATTATTTTTTGTTCTTTGTGAGACTAATTTGAGTTCAACTGTCTCATCTTGCGAATCTTAGTGTTGATTGATATCTTCCTTTAAAAGTCGAAAAGACTTAATTTGTCACATGCTTGGCCTGAGGATTTATATTCGTAAATATTCACTCATTTGTTGGGAAACTAGGTTTGAATCCACAGACTATTCTTTTATGCGCTTTTGTTTAGCATCTCTTCACTCTATGGCCTTTCTCTTTGCTTTACATTGCTTTCCTTTATCTCAAGACTGTACTCTTTTCGATGTTATTTCTGATCAAATTGACCATGTCCTCTCTTTTTATTCATCAGCCAATATTGTTGTTGTTGGTGACTTTAATGCTCATCACACTGAATGGCTTGGCTCTAGTGTCAGTGACTGGGCTGACATTAAGGCTCTAAACTTTTGCCTTTCTCAATCTCTAACTGAAATAGTCAACTTTCCAATTTCTACTTGATCTATGTCTTGTTTCTGATCCTAGTCAGTGCTCAGTTTCTTCACATTCACCCTTAGGTGTTTCTGATTACGGTTTGATCTCTCTAAAACTATTATCTCGTTCTTCTTTATCATCAGAATTCCCCTATCATCGTACATCTTACAACTACCTTAAAGCTGACTGGGACTCTTTTTGTGAATTTATTTGTGATGGCTTTTGGGTAGAAATCTTTTGTTTTTGTGTTGACAAATGTGCTTTTTACATAACTTTGTGGATTCAGGCTGGCATGGAATCTTTTTTTCCCTCTTGACAATTCCAGGTCAAGCCTCACTCTTCTCCATAGTTTTCCTCGCATTGTGCTGCTGCAATTGCCAATCGAAATCATTACTTCCATATCTATCAACAAAACAATTCTCTAGAAAACAGACGTCTGTTTATTACTGCTAGGAACCATTGTAAAAAGGTTTTGTCTAATGCCAAAGCCCGCTATTCTTAGGTCGTGAAATCTCGTATTTCATCACAAAAATTATGCTCTTGTGACTTCTGGAGAATCATTAGTATCAATAATAAGGGCATGTCTGTAATTTCACCTCTTTTGTACGGTTCAGACTTTGTCACCTCACCTAAAGACAAAGCTGAATTGTTTGCTAAGAACTTTTCATCAATAGCATTTTTTGATTCCACTAGTTTCGTTCTACCTGATATAGCTGCCAAACAAGTCTATCCATTGATTGACATTCGTATCACTCCAGCCAGTGATTTCCTGCTTGGACTCTTCTACAGCTTGTATCCAAAAAACATACCTGTTGTAGTCTTGCAGAAGTGTTCTCCGGAGAAGTTATTGATACTTTCAAAACTATTTAACAAGTGCTTATCATAGTCTTGTTTCCGGCATGCTGGAAAGTAGCATATGTTATCCCTACTTTCCTGGTATTCCTGTTATCCCTAATCAAAAATTCTGGAGAGCGATCTGACTTATCTAACTACTTGAATTTTTAATTAACAAAAATCTAATCTCTCATCTTGAATCTAGTAACTTACTTTCTGATCATCTATATGGATTTTGATCTTCTTGTTCTACAGTACTACTAACAGTAGTAACAGATAGGTTTTATCATACATAAGATAAAGTGGAGAGGTTAAGGCCATTGTTCTTGACATTTCTAAAGCTTTCCATAAAGTTGGGCATGCTGGTCTTCTCCGTAAGCTTTCTTCTTACAGTGCATCTAGTAACATCTTTAAGATTATTGAATCCTTATTTTCCAATCATTGTATATAAGTTGTCCTTGATGGACAGCACTCTTCTTCTTATTCTGTAACCTCAGGGGTTCCTCAAGGTTCAATCCTTGGCCCTATACTCTTTAATTTACATAAATGATCTTCCAGATATTCTCACATCAAAGGTGATATTGTTCACTAATGATACTACCATTTATTCTTGTCTTGATATGAAGCCAACTCTCTCTGATTGTTTTAAGGGGGTATTGTAGCTTCTGCTACACTATGGGGCTCACAGTGGCTGGTGAACTTTAATTCAGATAAAACTCAATTTTTTTCAGCCACTTGTTATTACAATAATTTAGACCTTCCTATATTTATGAATGGTAATGTACTTGATGAGTTATCTGCCCTTCATCTTCTAGGATTAACTCTTACTTCTGATCTTTCTTGGAAACCATATATCAAATCGGTTGCAAAATTAGCATCTGCTAAGGTTGCATCTCTTTATTGTGCTCCCCATATTCTTACTCCTTATTCTATTCTTTATCTCTACAAATCTCAAATCGGTCTTTGTATGGAATACTGTTGCCGTATCTGGGGCGGATCTTCTAATGATGCCCTTTCTCTTTTTAGACAAGGTGCAAAAAAGCATTGTAAACATAGTAAGACCTGCTCTTGCAGCCAACCTTTAACCATTATCACATCGTCATAATGTCGCTTCTCTTTCTCTTTTCTACAAATACTATAATGGGCACTGCTCTTAAGAGCTAGCATCTCTTGTGCCATCTACTAAAATTCATTTTCATGTTACTCGTCATTCAATTAAGTCTCATCCTTTTTTTGTTACTGTTCCTAAGTGCTCCGAAAACTCTTATTTGTCTAGTTTTTTTCTTCAAACATCAGTTCTTTAGAATTTGCTTCCTTCATCTTGCTTTCCTGATTCATGTAATTTGCAATCTTTCTAGTCGTCTATCATTTGTTATCTTGTTCTACAATGTTCTTCTTCTCTCTTCCAGTCACTTCAACTCTAATTAGTGGTTGCTTGAAGCCTTGTTGGAAGCGAAGATGTTTAAAAAAAAAAAAAAAAGTTAATTATAGATAGTTAGGTGAGTGTTCACTTTTAAGATGGCTAAATTAATTTTATATTTTTATAGAACATATTTCTTGGTGAAGACATTCGTAAACAACTTCCTAGAGAATCTGCAGAATTTGATGAAGTTAACAACTCCTGGAAAACTATAATGAAGCGTTTAAACAAGGACAGAAATGTTTTACAAGGTTGTCATTTTCCAGGAATGATGGAGTTATTGAACAATATGAATTTAAAGCTGGAGGAGATACAAAAATCATTAGACATGTTTCTTGAGACAAAAAGGCAAATATTTCCAAGGTTTTATTTTCTTTCCAATGATGATCTGCTAGAAATATTGGGACAGTCAAAAAATCCTGAAGCAGTAAGTTTTTTTGTTAATATGAGTTGTTACAAAATTGAATTAAGTTATTATAAATCATATTTATTCAATTTATAATTAATGTTATACATTTTTAATATTACTATATATTTGTATAAAATAAAAATATATAATTATTCTTTTATATTGGTATAAAAATTCTTATTTATTGTATTATATTTTTACTGCAGAATATAAAGTTTTATTATTTTCACTGTAAATAAAAAAGTACATTTAGAGTTTAATCATTTGTTTTGAACAAGGTTCTTTTTTTATTTTAAAAATAATTTAAAAAATTTAAATTTATTATCTTTTTATATCTATTATTTTACATATACTACTTTAAACTATACAAACTAAAAAGATTTGTTGAAGTTTGACTTTAAATTTTCTTATTTATAATATTTTAAGAAAATAAAGAAAAAAAATGTTTAAAATTGACTTTCATTCTTCTGATTTTTTATATATTAAAATTTGTGCTTTTCTATTTGTTTTTTGAATATGGTGTTGCTGGAGTATTTAATATAATTAAAATATTTATGCCACTAATTAGCACAATTAATGAGGAATATCATTTTTAATGTTAAGTTTAGTATTAGACAAGACAAGACAAGATATTTATTTTCCTTTTCAAAATTTACATATAATCATATAATAAAAATAATAATAATAATAATATCTATGATAATACAAACAATATAATTATAATAAAATATAACTAATAAGAATAAATATAAATAATTATTTGAAAAGAAAGGTGTCACTCAAACAGAAGCCTGATAAAAGGAGTGACACCAAATAGTTATAGCAATAATAATTAAAAATAATAATATTATCTATAATCATTCAAATAATATGATGACATGAGTGTCACTCATGATCAAAATGAGTGACACCAATTATTTATAACAATTAGTATAATAATAAAATAATAATAAAAATAACAAATATGAACCTAAAATCGCTTGGAAAATAAATAAAATAATAATAACAATGATAAAGCTAAAATATGTTAAATAATAAGACAAAAAATATGAAAACACTCAATAACAACAGCAAACAAAAATAAAAATAATTAGCAAAACAGAACAAATAAAAAACAAACCTTACGCAAACCAAAAGGCAAAACACAAAAACTACAAGATGAAACACAAAAACTACAAAACAAAAAGGCAAACACAAATACTTCTACAAAAAAAAATTAAATTAAAAAATAAGGACAAACTTTAGTTATTTTCACGAAATAAAAAAAAAAGGTGTAGAAAATTTGGTAAAATAGAAAAAAACAGAAAACAACAATAAAAATAAATAGCACAAATAATTACAAACTTTATGCAAACGATAAGAGAAACACAAAAACTGCAAAATGAAATGCATGCACAAAATGATAATATTTAACAAATATAATATAATATTAAAATAGTTAATGGAATATTATAATATTAATTAATAATTAATATAATAATAAAAAATAATAATATAGCAAATATCACATATTTGTCACACAAAAAAAGGTGTAGAAAAATTGGTTGCAATTTTTTACGTTTTAGTTCTTTTAATTATTATTTCGAACATTTTTCGAACTTTTTTTCTTTTAAATTGGTACTTTGCTGTTAATTGATTTTTTTTGTTTTGTTTTTGTTTGATTAAATCTGTTTGTTCTTTTTTTTCTTTTATTCATTTTCTTGTTTTATTTTTTCTTCAATCTTTTAGTTTGTTTATACCCATCAATTATTTTCTTTTTTTAAATTGTTTCTAACTAATCTTTTTTATTATTTAAAAATTTCCTTCACTTTTCCTTTACTCTTTTTTTCCTTTTCATCGTTAGTTAAATGCTTCCGCCATTGCGATGTCATTGCAGAGAAAAAAAAAGAGGTTTTATTAACATATAAAATGTTTTTTTAAATAATTCTTTTTGACGAAAATATGTTTCTTTTCTTTCCTTTTTTTATCACGTTTTTAAAACAACTTTTTTTTTTTTTTTTGATGTTGCTGTAGTATTTTATATAGTTAAACTATTTATGCTAAAAGTTTGCACAGATAATGAGGAAAATATAATTTTTAATGTAAAGTTTGGGTTAATTTTTTTTATGATTAATATTTTTCATTTTTTTTCATTTTTTTTCTTGTCACTGAAAAAATAGATGACTCATTTTTAAAACAAACTATTTCAATATTTATGATTTGGTTTTAGTGTTTAAAGCTTTTATTTATTATTCTAGGTTCAACCGCATTTATTTATTCTAGGTTCAGCCACATTTATTTATTCTAGGTTCAACCACATTTATTATTTATTCTAGGTTCAACTACATTTATTATTCTAGGTTCAACCACGTTTATTATTTATTCTAGGTTCAACCACATTTATTATTTATTCTAGGTTCAACCACATTTATTATTTGTTCTAGGTTCAACCACATTTATTATTTGTTCTAGGTTCAACCACATTTATTATTCTAGGTTCAACCACATTTATTATTTTAGGTTCAACCACATTTATTTATTTATTCTAGGTTCAACCACATTTAAGTAAATGCTTTGATAATATTAAGTCACTGCAGATGAGCAAACTAGGCCTAAGTCTTAAGCAAGAAGCGTTTGGTATGTTCTCTTCTGATGGAGAGTATATAGAGTTTTTACATCCAGTTTTAGTGGAAGGACCTGTAGAATCTTGGCTGTGTGATATTGAACATAGCATGAGATCTGGTTTAAAAGAATTGCTAAGAGGTTGTCGATTAGGGCTTAAAAAGGTTGGCACGGGCCGTGAGAAATGGGTTAAAGAATGGGCTGGACAGGTTATATTTTTTACTTTAAAAGCAAAATATCTTTACTATTTTTTGTTTATAATTTTCTAAAGATTTTTTAGCTATATGCTTTAACTTTTTTAGCTTTTTGTTATTTTTTCATTCAAGACTTTTTTTTTTAGCTAATAATAATAGCTAGTCAAATCCAATGGACAGCTGACTGTTCTAAAGCATTACTTGGAATGAAAGATAGAGAAGATAAAAAAACATTAAAGAATTTGCGAAAAAAACAAATATTTGTGCTAAATAAACTATCTGAACAAGTTCGTGGAAATTTAACTAAGTTGCAGCGTTTAAAGATTGTTGCCTTAATTACAATTGAAGTACATGCAAGAGATGTAATAGAAAAAATGGTCAAATCAGGATGTTCAGACATAAATGCTTTTGATTGGCTGATGCAGCTGCGTATGTATTGGGAAAAAGATGTTGATGATTGTGTTGTTTGTCAAACGAATACTCGCTTTAAATATGGCTATGAGTATTTGGGAAATTCGGGTAGATTAGTTATTACCCCTCTGACTGATCGGTGTGTATACAAAATTCTTTTTTCTCACGTTTTTAATATTTATTTTGATTTCATAGTACATGTTGTTTTATAATATATTAAAAAGTATTTTTAATTTTGGTTTGCCAGTATTTGAACATAGTTTGAAATTCATATTTTGGAATACCTTACATCAAACAGTTTATTTTTTAAAATAACTCCTTGATATGAACAGCTCTTATAAAGTTTATATATTATATAGTATAACTTATAAAGTTTATATATTATATATTATATAGCTCTTATAAAGGCTTTATATATTAACATATAAACATAAGTTAATATATAAAGCCTTAAACTTTATATAAAGACATATACGTTTTTATATATAGTCATGCTTTAAAAATGCATTTATAAGATGTTTTAAAATCTGGTATTATTTGGAAGCTTAAACTTCAAAATGTTTTATAAATTGAAAAAAAAAATTTAAATTGCTTAACTTTTTTAAAATTTTATTAAATTTAAATTTATGATAAAATAAAATAACACAGTTCTTTTCAATTTATTTTATGCTAATTTTTTTGACTGCAATTTGTTTTAATTTTTAACCTCTCATTACATTATCATTTTTTATACTACTCATTTTATGAAATATTTAAATTCTTTTACTCTAGAAAGTGAGGGTCACTAGGAAATAGTAACAACTTTTAATTGCCACAGTGTCCTGCACTAAAACTGGTGTTTATAAACATAAACACCAGTTTATGTTTATAATATTCAATATTAAGGTTTTATGCTTACACTGTTAAGTACTATTCTGAGTCAATCAGAAAGTAGTTAGTTTTTGTTGATTTAACAAACAAAAATCACTGGACATGTTTCTTGAGACAAACTATATTTTATAAATATAAAATTTTTTTATTTTTTTATTATTATTATTTTTTTTTAATTATCTTCGCTTCCAACAAGGTTGCAAGCAACCACTAATTAGTGTTGGAAGTTACTGGAAGAGAAAAGATGAAGATTGTAGAGCAAGATAACGATTGACAGACGACTTAAAATATTGCAAATTATATGAATCAGGAAAGCAAGATGAAGGAAGTGAATTCCAAAGAACTGATGTTCGAGGAAAAAAACTAGACGGATAAGAGTTTTTGGAGCACTTAGGAACAGTAACAGAAAAAGGATGAGACTTAATTGAATGACGAGTAACACGAGAATGAATTTTAGTAGATGGCACAAGAGACGCTAGCTCTTTAGAGCAGTGCCCATTATAGTATTTGTAGAAAAGAGAAAGAGAAGCAACATTACGACGATGTGACAGAGGTTAAAGGTTGGCTGCAAGAGCAGGTCCAACTATGTTTACAATGCGTTTTTGCACCTTGTCTAAAAGAGAAGGGGGCATCATTAGAAGATCCGCCCCAGATATGGCAACAGTATTCCATACAAGGCCGGATTTGAGATTTATAGAGAAAGAGAATAGAATCCAGAGTAAGAAAGTGACGAGCTTGATAAAGAGAAGCAGCTTTAGCAGATGCTAATTTTGCAACGGATTTGATATAAGGTTTCCAAGAAAGATCAGAAGTAAGAGTTAATCCTAGAAGATGAAGGGTAGGAGACTCATCGAGTACATTACCGTTCATAAATATAGGGAGGTCTAAATTATTGCGATAACAATTGGCCGAAAAAAATAAAATAAACATTGACAACAACAATATTGGCTGTTGGATAAAGAATGAGGGCTTGGTCAATATAATCAGAAATAACATCAAGAAGAGTGCATATTAGGGATGAGGGAGAGCGATATAGAACAAAGAGAAAGGTGATAGAGTGAAGTGGTGCTAAACGAAAGCACATAAAAGAGTAGTCTGTGGATTCAAACCTAGTTTCCCGACAAATGGGTGAATTCTTACGAATGTAAATGCCCAGGCCAAGCACGTGACTATTGGAGTCTTTACAAATTAAAAGAAGATAACCATCAACACTAAGATCACAAGATCAGACAGCTGAACTCAAATTAGTCTCACAAAGAGCAAGCAGGTCTGGTGAACTTTGCAAGAGATAAGACTCAACAGAAGAAAAGTTACTTCGAAGACCACGAATATTGGTGAATGATAGGTCGAGCAAACTTGGTGATAACTGTGGATTTTTGTGTTTTATAGTTTTTGTTACTTTATTCATTTTTAAATTTGTTAAAGAACTTGTTTCGAAACATCGATAGTATTCAGTACACTGTTCTATAGCTCAAGCAATTGCCTCATTTTCACTAATAAACCCTAAACCGTAACAAAGGGCTCCAATGTGGCCTTGGCAATGCACACCAAAAATACAAACAGGGACACCATCCATGCGCAACATGGCACTGTTAGTACTCTGATATTTTTCAGCTGTTGATGGAATCAGCCTCTCTGAGAGCTACCACAGAGTTCGGGAAACCTGACTACCAGCCGGCCTCAGAACCATAAAACTGAGTTTTAGAGCTGTACCCTCATTTGGAGATAATAGAATGAGTTGCCTAGTCATAAAAACAGAGACACAAGCAAAACCCATGAATCGAGTCAAGAAGATCCAGCGTTCAACATCCTAAACTGGAAACAATGTATTGAAAATACATCTGCGCTAGCCTAATAGATGACGAAGGGGTGCAAGGCTGGTCAACAGATAGAATCTGTTTACCCCTTAAGTCTTTGCCTAGGAGGCCTTCTACAAGACAGCAGCCGGATGCATTTAACATCTGCCCAAGATGAGTATTTTTATCGAGACACTATCTCTAGCCTTTACTCAACTAAGAGCCCCAAGGCAGGGGGTGTTTTATGTCGGAGTTTGCATCTCCTAGCCTTTGCCTAAAAAGGCATATCCTACAAGGCAGCAGGACATGAAGCAGAGCGTACTGGGTTACATGTTACCAGTAGCATATTTGTATATATATGTATATATATATGTATATATACATATATGCATATATATATGTATATATATATATGCAGTATATATACGTATATACGTATATATACTGCATATATATATACATATATATATGCATATACATATATATATATTTATGTATATATATATATATACACATATACATACATATATATACATATATATACACATACATACATATATATATATATATATATATATATATATATATATATATATATATATATATATATATATATATATATATGTATATATATATATATATATATATATATATATATATATATATATATATATATATATATATATATATATACATACATATATATATATATATAACATTTATACGTTACATATATAACATTTATACGTTATATATATATATATATATATATATATATATATATATATATTATATATATATATATATATATATATATATATATATATAGACAAAAAGTTATTCAAAATTTAATTATACTGTAAAATATAGTATTATAAAAACCATATAATGTCATCTTTAGAAAATGTATAGCGCCAATGGTTATGCGACAATTTTTGTAAAGATGTTAATGAGATTTTAAATTTTTTTGAATGGTGATACTGACTTCATAGATTTATTTTATATTATAAATGAAGATTCAGTTTGGGAGTAGGATTCTCTATCGTCAACAAAAAAGAGTTTTGGTTTAGTAGGAATAGAAAATAGTTATCTTGTTGACAATTTAGCTGTTAAAATACAATATATTCTATTTTTCCTTTCATATATGTGTGGAATGATAATATGGAACATCTTTTACCCAAATATATAAAACTGATGTTATTCATTCAAGTTATCTGAAATTGAGAGTGAAAATCTAACTGAAAGGTCATGGGAAAAAATTATGACGAGATTCTAGCTAAAATCTTCAGTAGAGCTAGTTCTATAGGAAATAAACGTATAAGGTATAAACCTTATTCGTTTACAAATTCTCAATGAATCTGTATTAGTTGAATGACTCACCCTGTAAACATATTTTTGCAGTGATGTATTTTAACAGATTCAATCTGATTTTCAAATTCCTACATTTAAATGAAAACTTGACATATGATTAAAATGATGGAAACTGTTTTCCAATTATATAAACTTTGCTTATCAATTTTTTTTTTTTTTTGATATTGAGTAAAATTTTTTTGTTTACATGGAAACTGTTGATTGCATGAATCAACTAAAGCTGCGGTTTTATACTGCAAAAATCACTGTGATACCAACAGTGTGTGTTTGCAAATTGTGCACAAATCTATCTGACCTTCACCTAGTCTCTTTTTTAAATTTTTTGATTTATCATGTAATAATAAAATATGCTGAGTTATAAAGGTTTTTTACTTGTTTTTATTGAGAAATTATATATTTTCTTTAAATTTTGAGTGTCATTTATTCAGTTATCTATCATTAGAGTAGTAAACATTGGTTAAGTATTTTTGTTCTCGCTGAGATTTTTTTGTAAAATTTTCTGACTTTTTTTCTTATATTGAAAATAACATATTTGAATAAAATCAAATACGTTATTTACTTTCAACTTTGTTGTTTTTATCTAATAGGAAATCCACCATTTTTAGTCACATAACATGCAAAAAGTCATTTAAAAAAAAGAAAAAAAAAAGATATATTAATTTTCCACAGTCAAGGCCTTACTTTTATCTGGGAAATTCGATAAGTTTTATATTGTAGTGAAAGAGCTAAATAAAAAATTACTGACTTTATTTTTGATAAATTGCTGCAATTTGTATAAAACCTTGTATTGATTATTGTGACATGTTGCAGAAAATTATATCCTAAACATGAATGATCATTTAATGCTGTTATGCACTTAAGTTTGTTTCATTTATATAGTCTCTTACCAGGACTTGAGTTCAAACACATCTGCTCATGTTTAGTTCCAAGTATATTAAATGTACTCATTTTTTAAATTAGAAAGTGTAACAAAAATGTATAAGTTTGTAATACACTCTCAGTAAGTTTTCATAGCTAATAATAATGTTTAATAGTAATATATAAAGGTTTCATGGATAATATTGTGTTTTTAAGGAGGCATTATTTTAAGTTATTTAATTTTAAGTTTATTTAATTTTATTTTAAGTTATTTAATTTTAAGCATTATTTTAAGCATTATAAGTTTTGTGAGTATACATAGAGTTGTGTTATTTTTTATCTCAAGTTTAAAAATATATGCAAGTGTAGGTTTATTAACTTAAGATAAATGGTAGTACAAAAAACTTATTTTGAAGAAACCTTATTTTGAAGAAACTTTTTGCTGTATCTTAAATTAGATACAAGATAAACAATTCAATTCAAATTTTAATAGAAAAATATCTTGTTTAGTAGTGACAACCATATGATGAATCCCTCCTCAATTGGGAGGGTTATAAAATTGATTTACTTACAGCCAACCACTCCTGTAAAAATTATAGGTGTTATATTTAAAACCCAGAATATCCTAGTTCTGCAACTGCATATGCAGTCAAATAATACAGCTTGAAAACTTTTAATATTTTCAAATTAGTTTCATATGCTTACTACTAATTATTATTATAATTTGTTTTTACAACTCTATATTTTGATCAAATAATTGTTTTGTATAACTTCATATTATGATTAGCCATGGAATTTGTAAACAATTAATTACATTACTTACTTTCTTTAAGAGTAATGCGCTCAAATCAGCAAGTTTTAGTACTTAAAGTGTGAAGCCTGTTTAAAGTGCAATTGAACACTAAGATATGTAACACAGGGTGAAGATACTTAACTCTCAATAAAGCAATATATTTATTTGAAAGATTAGTTGAAACATTTTTTAAGAAATAATTTACTGCTGCTGAAAAGGATTAAAAGGTTTTAAGAACAAAATAAGAGTCTCTACAAAAATTTGGAGGATTGAATCAACAAAGTGTTGTTGTCCAAATATTTCAGTCTTGATTGTCTTGTCAAACTTAAAATTGATAGATGGGGAATTTAATAAACCTGGCAGATAGGGAATTTAATAAACCTGGCAGATGGGGAATTTAATAAACCTGGCAGCCTAGAAATTTTGCATACTTAAAAAAAAGTTTCAGTGAAATAAAATGACAAAGCCATTTTAATATCTAGTATATTTTTTATATATTTTTTTCCATAATTTTAATTAAATTAAAAGTTTATATTAATGGTAATGAACATTTGAGCTTATTAACTCTATTATTGTTATTATTTTCTTTTCTTTCAATTTTTAAGGCAAAGTTAAATTTCTTTTCTTTACAGAAATTATTTACAGAAAAAAAAAGTATTTTTGTAATAATTTATGAAAAACCACCAACTTAAAATAAAAATTTTATTACACAAAGATTCGGAGTTATAAACTTTCACTTATCTGTTTTATGGTACAAATTACTTTCCCTAGTTTTTTAAACATTTTTCAAAAGACTATAAACATTGAATCAAAACTTGTTGTGATATATATGCGCTCATATGTAGTTAAATTTTATTATTGAGTTGTGCATATATTTGTATATATATTTGTTTATCTTTTTTCATCCTGTTCGTAGAAAAAAATATTTTAGAATTAATATTTTTTTTAAATATTTGTTTGTTTATTTTACTTAGTTTAATGTTACTTTTTTATTTTACTTTTTGATTTATTTAACCTCTTTTTACCAGTTTAGTAAAGGTTACACTATTTTATATGTTGTTTTCTAAATTTGATTTACACTTTTAAAAAACATTCAACAACAATATTAATTTTATTAACAAAATTAATATTATTTTTTTAGGTGTTACATGACTCTTACAACTGCTTTGCACTTGCACCGAGGTGGCAGTCCAAAAGGTCCAGCTGGAACTGGAAAAACAGAAACTGTTAAAGATTTAGGAAAAGCTTTAGGAGCTTATGTTATTGTGGTGAACTGCTCAGAGGGCTTAGATTTTAGATCAATGGGGAGAATGTACAGTGGTCTTTCTCAGGTATCATATGTATTAAAAATTTGTTTGTTATTTAATTTTAAAGTTCTCATAGTTGTAGTAGGTATGATCAAAATCATATTTATTACTCCTACTACATTTATTATTGTTTATATTCAATAATCACAAGCATTTGTAAGACTTTCACACAAATATGAATGTTATGTATATTAGATGTCTGTATTTCTGAATGTCTGAGTTTCTACGGACGTTTTGTACCTACTGAGAAATTATTGTTTGCAATTTTAATTTTTAAATTTGTTTTAGTTCTAGATTTTATTAGGAATATTTTGTATTTTTTAAAATTCTTTTCTCAAAAGTTATATAAAATTTTAAATACCTTTTTTAGCAAGTAATGTTGCATTTTTATTACGGTGGGGGTGAAAGGCTGAAGAACTTTGCTTGCTCAAAACATTACAACACTGAAATATCAAATATTTTGATCTATTGAGTTTTAATCTTTTTTTAGACTATTATAACAATATTTTTTGAAAAAAATAGTTTTATTGAAAATTTTTGATTTTGTGAATATAAAAATCCAATTTAATCATTCTTGGCATATTGTATGAATTTAATATTTTGTTAAAATTTCTGTTGTTTTATTAACTTTTGATCAAAATTTGAAATTGTCTGTTCCTTTACTTCCAGAATCAAGGGGTATTTTTCATCTCAGTTCTCAGTCCATATGAGATGATATTTACTGAGTCTAGATTTTGGACAAAACCGAGATAAAACCTTAATTTTTTAAAAAAGTGAAAAAAAAAATTAAAGAAATAATGTAAAATTTTTAGAAAAATTTGAAAAATCAATGTTGACTTGATTAATTTCAATGCATGTTCTGATTTGCATAACTTTTCAAATTTGAATCCAGTTGTAACGTAGCTTTTTAATTTTTTGGTTGTTGAATCATTATTTTTGGTTGTTGAATCAATTTTTTGGTTGTTGGATATTTGAGCAAACTGACAGTTAAGATCAGTTGTCTTTTAAGAATCTTTTTTTCAATTTCTTCAATCAACCTTTCTTCCATTTACAATTCCTTTAATAAAACTCCTGTACACTCTCTGCAATGTTCAAGTCAAAATAATGCCCACTCATGTCATCCTAGCCAGTTTGTAGATAAAGAGTTGCTACTAATTTAGGAATGCTCCTCTCTAAATAATAAGACCAATCATGTCCAAATGCTGGAAGAGTTTTTTTGATATCTGTCATTATCTTATTAAAAATCATCAACATTTTCAATGCACTGTTCTATCGTGTTCTGACATGAAAAACCAGCAATTTGAAATTAATACTAAGAGATTGAGCATTTTCATTAAGCTCTTGTCTAATTTAAGGTTGTGTTTGAAGCTTTTTACAATAGTTTGCACATCTTAGATGTTTTAGTAGGAAAAAATAATGCTGACGCATGTTCTGATGAAAAAAACTTTGTTTTCTTCACCAGAATTTGCGCCAGTATTACTTTAACTTCATCTTCTTCATTTGTTGCTTAAATAAGCATGCTTGATTTGTTGAAAGAAATCTAAAATGTGCTGACATGTCGCTCTCTGCATCTGATTTTTCTTTGCTGTTTAATGATAATCAATTCTTATTTTCTTGATTGATATCTGTTTTTTTTATTAGTACTTGTTTCACAAAATAGCAGATTTCATAGCCATAGGAGATGTGATGAAATCATTGAGAGACATTTAGTTCAAATGCTTGCCCCATCCATAGTTTAACCATGGTAATGTCAGGAACAATGCCAAAAGGTCATTAATTTATAGTTTTGTAATCTCAAAGGTTTTGGCATTACATTCTTTGCCCATTTCAATCATACCTAGATTTTTATTGTAATTGTTGGGTCCCAAAATATGGTTTTTCATAAAACAAAATTTGTTTAAAAGTGGCCTTATCAATCACATAGAAAAACTTTTTTCAATTGGATTTTATCAACATTATTTCTTTTATCACTTTGTCCTCTACATACATTAAAATAAATCACGCATGAACTAAATTTGAACACATGAGGTGAGTTTGTTTTGAATTTTAGTTTGTTTATTTGATGAGTTTGTCATTGTGCGCTATCAGGACACAAAGTGCATTTAACATGAAATCTTTTTTTTTTTATAAAACTATACACTAGTTTTGCCTTTTTAAATAAGTTCTTCGCTCAATTTTTTTTACTTTTAATTTATTAAAATTTAAAAATTATGTTACTGTTACTATGTCGAATGTCATAATTAAGTATACTTACTTTTTAGTTTATTACAGTTATGTTATTAGTATTTTTAGTTTCTTTATTGTTATTTATAAAATCTTTATTATTTTTTATTTTTTATTTGTGCACTTTTTTTGTGACAAATCACATAATCAACAGAATCATATAATGAGTGAAAAATATTGCATTGCAATTACAACTTATTTTAAAACCAAGATTACTGAAAAATATTGAAAACTTCAAAATTCTTTTTATTTTTTTAATTTTCACATATTTTTTTCAGAGAGATATATAAAAAATGGATCCTATTATAAATTTTTAAAAAGTGTTAACAGAATAAAAATGGATAAATATTAATACCAGAATAAAACAGAATAAAAATGCTCAGAATAAAAAAACAGAATAAAAATGGAATAAAAAACAGAATAAAAATGGATAAATATTAATACCAGAATAATAACAGAATAAAAATGATCAAATATTAATACCAGATTCAGTGAGATATACAATATTCAGTGAATTTTATTCAATGCAAATGCACCCATCTCTCAACAGACTATTTAATGATTACTGAAACTGGTTTTTTATACAAACACAAGCACTGTATGACTAAGATATGATTTTATCAAAAATTGATCAAATGTCTTTTGATATCATCTTAAAAACTGTCACCGCTTAAAAACTGTTTAATAATTTTTTCATTTTTATTTTTTTTCATTTTGAAAACTAGTTTTTAGCATTTTACCTATTAAAAACATTAATGATTATAAAATTCTTCATTCTTTAGATTAACATGAAGTAAACACGGTGTGGTTAAAATAATTTTGTGGTTGATTAAAACATTGTAAAAAATAGAAATTGCTCATCAAAAGCTTATTAAATCATTATTATAGCATCTTGCTGAATACGGCTATTAGAAAAGACAAGATAAGTAATAACTCTAAGGCTCAAGCATTCTGGGTCTAAATTAATTGTGTTTTCCATTATGATATTGACTATATTTGAATTTTTATTTTTATAGTTGTAGCTTATAAAATAAAAGTTTATTGTACTTTACTATGGATATCTAATTCAATCATACTAATGAACTAAAATAATGAAAACTTTTCTTATAGTTAATTTAAACTTTAAAAGTTTAAATTAACTATAAGAAGCTATAAAAAAATAAAATAAAATTAACCATATTATAAAATATACTTCAAAATGAGTAGCAATTTATAGCAATATGAACTGAAAGCAGTGTGTTAAATGAATTGAAAGAACAGCTTTTATAGTACAGTATTTACGATGACCTAAAATCTTAAAATTTACTAAGTAAAATACCATTGCATATATAATTGAAAAAAACATTTGAAAATGTTAAAAATACTACTTTCTAAATGTATAAAACAAAAAACAGTCGAAATTATCAAACAATTTAATAAAGTTAAATCAGAAGCAACGCAATAATCAATTTTTGTGTTGCTTCTGGCAATTACAAACAAAAGGTTGGAGTATTTCTTATTAAAAACAATAACAAAAAGCTCTCTATTATGTGTGTGTGTATGTGTATATATATGTGTTTATATATATACATAAATATTGTTTTTGTAAATTATTTATTATATATTTATATTAATTAGACTGGTGCATGGGGTTGCTTTGATGAGTTCAATCGTATAAATATTGAGGTTTTATCTGTTGTGGCTCAGCAGATTTTATCTATATTAACAGCCCTCTCAAGTGGTTTTACAAAGTTTGTTTTTGAAGGTCGTGAAATCAACTTGGTTTGGTCATGTGGTATCTTTATTACTATGAACCCTGGTATATTCTTTAAGTATATATATCGTATTTGAGAAATTTTCTTTTTTTTTTTTTTAATTAATTTCTAATGATAATTTTAACATGGTTTTTATTAACATTTTTATTGCAATTTTTATTAACATTTTTATTGTAGTTTATAAAAAAAAGACTGCACAGTGACTCAAATCACTTTCTTTTTATAGTTTATAAAAAAAGACTGCGCAGTGACTCAAATCACTTTCTTTTTGCAGTTTATAAAGAAAGACTGCACAGTGACTCAAATGACTTTCTTTTTGCAGTTTATAAAATAATGACTGCACAGTGACTCAAATCACTTTCTTTTTGTAGTCTATAAAAAAAGACTGCGCAGTGACTCAAATCACTTTTTTTTTGCAGTTTATAAAAAAAATACTGCACAGTGACTCAAATGACTTTCCTTTTGTAGTTTATAAAAAAGACTGCGCAGTGACTCAAATCACTTTCTTTTTGCAGTTTATAAAAGTCTAGACTTATCAAAAATGATATCAGTATGGACCTTATAGAAATTTGAATATTTTTGAAGAACTTTTTCTTTACTAAAATGATTGTGAAAAGTATTCTTATGGGAGCATACCTTATACTGCATGATGACTATAAATGTGTGACTACTTTAAATTGGTATTCATTAAGTTTCTGTGCATCTAGGTAGACTGAAAATCATGTTGTTTCAAATTATTTAGTTGAAATATAGACAATTTTGGAAACTTATATTTCCAGTTTATTAAAAACCTACTTCTTAAGAATTTGATAACAAATGTTTTCATCATCAGTAGTTCAATGCTTAAAAAAAAGTGGTGACCTTAAAACTTTGGATCTCTATGAAGTTATATAATTTATATACCAAGAAAAGATATTAATATTAGTTTTGTAGCTGAAATTTTGATAAAATATCACTTCATTATAAATAGATTCACTCTTAATGAAGTAGAAATGACTGCTTCTCACAAAATCTATGAAACGTTTGTTATTGTTGCTTCTCTTTATCGTGCTCGCCATATTGGAATATTACTATCGCTAACCAATATCTATTTTGATTCTTATATGAAAGTAACAAAAATAATAAACAAGCATTTGATTGAATAATTTTTTTTAGGGCTTTGGTGGAGTTTGTGGATTCATATGTATTATGAACTATTTTAACATATCTCTTTGTTGCTGTTCATTGAATATTTTGTTATGTAACAATATTTATGTTAATTTGAAAAAAGACAAAAGTTTTGGTAAAAAAAATTTGCTTTAAAACAATAGCAATACTCTCATTTGAATAATGAGTTAACAATATCTTTAGCAGAACCCCCCTTCCCCCCCTCTCTCTCTCTCTTTTTGACCCCCCTCCTCCTCCCTCATTCTCCTCCAGAATACATATTTAAAAAAGCAAAATCTTAGCTCTTAGAAATATCTTGTTCCATAATATCAAGGACCTATTGTTACCAGAAGTTGGCATCAATAATATTTTAATGAATATAATTAGACAGAGCTAGGTTGAAAGTAAAGGTAATTTAAAAAAAAAAAGCAGATTTAGAAGAGAAGACACTTATTTTGCATTGGACTACTTGGAAAGATAGATAAAAGTACAAAGAAAAACTTGAAAACAAACATGTTTTAGGAAAAATTTTTAATTAAAAATATGTTGCTGCAGTACATGACTTTATCTTTACAGATGTGGATGTTGTATTACAAAAGATTTACTTGACATACAGAACAATACCTATAGTTGGTGCTACTAAAGATGTTCTTGCTCATAAAAAATTCAGTGTAGCATAAAACATTTTATAAAAAAATTCTCACTTTCAGAAGAAACTTTTTAAACTTTTTACCTTTATTACTAATTGTGTGTATATTTACTGGGAAAAGGCATATATACTGATTAAATTATTACCCAACTTTGTTAAGATGCTAATTTCATTATACCAAGTTGGGAGAGATTTATAAAAAAATGCAAATTGGAGAGTTAGGAGAGAATCTCAAAAAAAAAAAAAAAGAGAAGCATTTGAACAACATCAACAAGAAGTATACAATTTGTTTTGACATCGCTCATGTCCATGTACTTCAGCTAATTAAAGTAAATGAAGATAGGATCTTCTAGAAGTGCCAAAAAAACCCAGGTCAGCTGTGGAAAAATTTCATAACTCTGGAGTTAGTTGTTGTATTAGTTTTATTAATTTATAAATATATATATATATATATATAATTTATATATATATGTATAGTTTTACTAAATTATACATATATATATATATATATATATATATATATATATATATATATATATATATATATATATATATATATATAATTTAGTAAAAACACTTATCTAATTTTTGTGCTTTTCAACAGCATGTTTCACCATCAGTAGGTTCATCAGGAAGCTTTCTGATGAATCTACTGATGGTGAAACATGCTGTTGAAGAACACAAAAATTAGATAAGTATTTTTACTAAATTATTATTGCTCTGTTCTTTAAGAACATTAAGCACTCTATTTGTAGAATACACTAACATAATTCATATATATATATATATATATATATATATATATATATATATATATATATATATATATACATATTTATATATATATATATATATATATATATATATATATATATATATATATATATATATATATATATATATATATATATATATATATATATATATATATATATATATATATATAATAGAATATAATATATATATATATATATATAAAATAGAAAATAAATAAAGTATAGCAATAATAAAAAAATTATATAGATAGAACTAGCCACTAGCTGGAGCGAGTTCATATAGTTAGTATTCATATAGTATAGCATTGGAATAAAAAAAAAAATTAAATTAACAACAATCTGTAAATGCTTTATTTATAAACAAATGTAATCAGCTGATTGGATCTGCCTAAAAGTAGACTAGAGTGTCATACAAAAAAATCATTGTAAAATTGAAACCCATAGTCAAAAACCCATAATCAAAAACGATAAGTGAACAAAAGTAAATAAAAGAACAAAATTAAAAAGGTAGGGAAACTTTCAATTTTTTTAAAAATCAATGATGCTATTGTCATTTTTATAGCATTGTTCCTCGAATGTAAGAGGTTTCAGTTTAGTTACAAAAAAAAAATCAATAGTTATTACCCAAATATATGTTGAAAAGTTAACTAATCTTACACGGATGCCAACAAATCGTCAAATTTTTGGAAACTTCACTTTTTTGTTTAATAGTGAAAAGCGCGACTGGTTTAAATCAAAATTTTGATTACGGATATAGAGTTTCTCTGGAGGGAAGTTCTAGACTTTCCACTATTATCCAGTGCACTCATCAGAAAAAAACTCAATAGTCTAATTGATCTACATGACAAAAACAAAAAGAAACCATCTGGTAAATTCACTGGAACACTTTTTCAGTTATTTTAGTAGTTAGTCACCGACATTAGTGGAGAATGAAAAAGCATGGAGGATAAAGAGTTTTATCAGAGGCAAGTTAAGAGTGGAGAAAAGAATAATAATTCAATGGTTAAACAAGCCCCTTTGGAATCAATCCTCCCAAGAAAATGAGTAAGACTATCAAAAGCTCAATCTCAAGCCTCTGTCAAATTGCAGCCTTTACAAACAGAATTTTCAGATTCTGAAACCTCTTCATAAAAAATAATTTTGCAAAAGATGATTTCAAGTAATTAAATGAACTATGAAAGGCATATTGTCATTATGAAACAACTTCATGTTGGCCTTGAATCAGCTAGAAGAAACTCCCAAATTTACATCAGGCAAGATGGAACCCATGTACAATACATGCTGTTATAGCATTCTTTTAGATACCAGAGAGTATCTTTTTTCAAATATTTCTTGTATATGCTCAAAGGAAGGAGGGGGGAGGGGGAAGGTCTTCATAAAGCGTACAAAAGCGTGGGGGGTGGGGGTGGAGGAGGAGGTTTAATTTAAAAGTATGTACATCAATTTTCTAATTTATCACAATTAACCAGCTAATCAATAGAAAAGTTAAAATTCTGACTAAAGATCCTAGTTTGCCAACATAAAAAGATGTTTGATATAGGAAGTAGAGGGTATAGTTTCCCTCAATTCACACATGCAAGGGAGCTTGCAGAATTGTTTGATGTTCCAGATAGGACATTTTCACACATTGTGCAAACTCCAAACTTAAGTATGTTTATACCTATGCTAAACGAGGAGACCTGACAAAAAATTAAGAAGGCGGAGGCCAGGGAGCAAAAAAGCCCTGAAATGCCCCCCTAAAAAAAAAAGAGGAGGGGTATAAATTTTGTATGGTCATAACTTATGCAATTTTAACTTATGCAATTTCAAAGAAATATATTTACAGTATATTTCTACGAAATATATTGTAAATATATTTCTACGAAAAATAAAATTCGTAGAAATATATTTACAATATATTTCTACGAAAAAAACGTGTCATTTGGGTCTCAAAATCTTCCAAATTTTACCGCTAGGTTTCACTAAAATAAAAAGCTCCTTAAATTAACAAAAAGACACAAAGTTTTTGTCCCTTTCCCCCTACCCACTTCCCCCCCCCCCCAAATTAAGGGGTACGGGTAGCCTATCCACGGCACTTGGTTTTAGGCTTTGTTTTTTATATGACTGATCTCGCGTTGGACTTATTTTTAACAGATTTACTAAATAGGGGTGCCTAAAAAAAAAGTCTGCCTCAAGTATAGTTTATTTTTATTTTATTCGTCATAAAAACACAAAAATTACAATTTGACTCAAGCAGCGATGGAATACAGATCTCCGTTGCCTCAGTCTGTAGAACTAACTCTAGACTAAGCGAACACATTGATAAATGGTAGTTTATCTATATTTAAAATAATATTTGCATATATTTGAAGAAATTTGTTAAATTCGGGTCTAAGGTACCTCCTTCACTTTTTTTTTTTCATAAACTTTTTCATTAAAAAAATAAGTTGGAGGGGGGGGGGGGTATTTCAAAAACGTATGTACTATTTTAGGGGGGGAAAGGACTTAGAAGTACGCATGGTAACAGGAGGAGGGAGGGGGTCAGATTTCAAAATTTTTGGCGTACGTTTTTTATGGATGACCCCTAATTTGTACAGATTACTAACTGTTCTGTTTCTTATTTGTTAATAAAAATTGCTTAGTTATTACCATTACTCTTTTAAATTATGAAAAAAAAGCATGTCCTTTTTTTTGAAAAAAAAAAGACATTTTTTCACTTTTTTTCTGAAAAGGAAGGAAGGGGGGTCCTTTTTTCAAAAAAAGAAATAAAAATGCTATTTATATTTTTAAATAACAAAAATATGTATATATATATATATATATATATATATATATATATATATATATATATATATATATATATATATATATATACATATATATATATATAGTAATTTTGTAAACTTAAGCTATTTGAAATGTTTTGAATTTTTCAGTATAGGTTTGTAAATCAATTTATTACAGGGTATGCAGGAAGAACTGAGCTGCCAGATAATTTAAAAAGTATGTTTCGCCCAATCTCAATGGTGGTTCCAGATTCTGCAATGATAGCTGAAATTATTTTATTTGCAGAAGGTTTTAGTAACACTAAGGTATTTAAAAAAATTTATTTTGTATTACAACATGTCATTGAAATAAACAAGTCTAAACATACAAAACAATATATGTATATATAATATATATACACAAACACACACACAGATATATATATATATATATATATATATATATATATATATATATATATATATATATATATATATATATATATATATATATATATGATATATAAAAAATATATATATTTATGTATATAATTGTTTAAAATTACAGGTTTTAGCCAAGAAAGTTGATGCATTGTATTCTTTGGCTGTACATCAGCTATCCAAGCAAGATCATTATGATTTTGGTTTACGAGCATTGACATCTCTGTTGCGATATGCAGGGAAAAAAAAGCGAACTAATCCCACATTTTCTGATGAAGAGGTTAATATTTGATCTTATATTATTTTTAAATTTTTAACTATATATTATTATTTACAATATACATGATAATTATGTATTTATTACTAGCCAAATGTTTGAGACCATTATAAAAAAATGATAATGCTAATCCATATTAACTAATAAATTGTTAACAATATTAATTTTTTTTTTTAATTTAACATCCGTAATTTCCCAATTGTTTTATTTGAGCAGGCTTTCATAATGCTATTTTCTTATTTAAAGTATATCTTGTATCATAAATTTTTTTATTTTTTTATGTAGAATAATTTTACTTCATGAACTTTGTTATTTTGCATGGTGAATCAAATTTTAACTTGTAAACGGTTTTAATTGATTTAATAAATGAGATCAAATATTGACTGACTTAAATAGGGATAACATGCAGTGAGTGAGTGCATAGATTAGGGTATGGGTTGGCTTTAAGATTACTAACCCAGACTTATATGTACACTCCTTGCATGTTCTCTCTAATTCAGTCAATATGTCTACACTCTGCTGCAGCCCTGACTTAAAAAGATATATAATAAAAATAAATAAATGAAGGAATAAAGAAATCAAAATGATGATAAGAAAAAACAGAATTAAATGAAAAAAAAAAAAAAGTAAAATAACAATTTCTGCCTGCATTTTCTTCCTATATAAAACAACTTATATAGGAAGATCATGCAAGGAGAATACATATGTCAAGAAAAAGATAGGGTTAAGGTTAGCATTAAAATTGCTTTTCCTAGCCCAAACCCTGAGTTGATGTATGTTCACTGAATCAAATATTAATTATTGTTTTTACATAACAATTAGGATTTTGCTTCAAATTAGTATCATGGTAATAATAGTAATAATTATAATAAGTATAAATTTCACTTTTATTTAAAGTTCATTACCTACAAAAAAGTTTTTTATTCATTAAATAAATTTTGTATTGATTTTTTTTATTTTAGGTAATACTGATTTCTATGAAAGATATGAACGTTGCAAAGCTGACATCTCAAGATATTATTTTGTTTAATGGAATAATGTCTGATTTATTTCCTGGTATAGATCCTCCAAATACAGATTATAGCAAGGTATTTTTTGAAATTCATTTTATATTGTTGTAATTACATTTAAGAAAAAATAAAAATATTCAATGTTTTATGAAATTTATTCTTCTTTGTTTTTTAAAGTACTTAAAATCGATTATTTTTTAGTTGTAAATCATTTCTGATAGATACAACTGCGTTTACTGTTATCTACTTGAAATATTTTTTACAGCTTTAACTTTTTCAGTTTAAAAAAAAAGATTCATCGAAATTAACTTTTTGTGTTTAGAGCTTTGCCTACACTACCTCACACCCACAATTAAGGAAAAGGGGTTTTATGTGAAAAACATATTTATGTATAGATATGTATATATAAATATGTTTTTAAAATAAAATTTGTATTTTATTTTATACAAAAAGTGTCCCAGTTTTTTTAACTTTGTTTTGTGTTTTATTTTTCATAAAGTATAAATATAATTTAGTTTATCGCTGCAATTGAAAAAGAATTAAAAAATAAAAACTACCAATGTCATCCAAATACACTGCAAAAGATTATTGAACTTTATGAAACTAAAAGTACAAGGTATTTTGTGTTTTTACATTTTAGTTTCAAAGTTGTATATATATACAGCCCTCATAATAAAAGTTGGCATTTGGCAATGCCATCCTAACTGCTGAGCTAAAAGTATTTGAAGTCGGCAAATATATATATATATATATATATATATATATATATATATATATATATATATATATATATATATATATATATATATATATATATATATATATATATATATATATATATATATATATATATATATAAATATATATATATATATATATATATATATATATATATATATATATATATATATATATATATATATATATATATATATATATATATATATATATATATATATATATATATATATATATATATATATATATATATATATATATATATATATATATATATATATATATATATATATATATATATATATTTATATATATATATATATATATATATATATATATATAAATATATATATATATATATATATATATATATATAAATATATATATATATATATATATATATTTATATATATATATATATATATATGTATTATATATATATATATATATATATATATATATATATATATATATATATATATATATATATATATATATATATATATATATATATATATATATAATACTCACTTGGGAAATGTTACATTTTTAAAATTTTACAATAAAACAGGTTTGTTACTAGTTTTACTATATTTTTTTGACATTTCTTCTTCAGATGTTAATGGTATAAAAATAATTCTTTCCCTAAAGCTATAATTAAATCAACATCCATTGTTGCAAAAAGATATTTTCTTCCCAGGTAGGTAGCTATTATTCCAAGTATTATAAATGCAAGAAATGGAGATTTGAATAAGTTTCCACTATCAGAAACAACTTCAAAAAGGCATATTAAAAAACAACAAAAAGCCATTTTAAAAAACAGCTTCAAAAAGGCATATTAAAAAATAACTTCAAAAAGGCATATTGAAAAAACAATTTTAAAAAGGCATATTAACATGATCTTAATGAGTGAAGGACTTAAAACAAAGCAAACTTTTATCTCAAAAGCTAAACACTTATCTGACTCTTCACATGGACACAATAATAGTTACATATGTTCTTAATCATGGCAAAAATATGGAATAGTTGACAGTAATTGACTCAATGAGCCCCAGTTTATTGGAGTAATTAGAATTTCTGATGTGTGTATAATAACCCAGGCTACTGCAATAACACAGGTTTTAAATGAATGGAATTTTTTTAAAGCAGTTGATAGTATATTGATTGATACAACTGCGAGTAATACTAGATGGATTATTGACGCAGTGTCAATTATTAAGAGATAGAGAGGCAGACCACTAATTTAGCTAGCATGTAGACACTAAGTTGTAGAACTTCGAACTAAAGAAATAGAAAGTTATTTTCTCCATAGCTAACAAGAAACTATTGCAATAAGTTAGAGAAAGTGTTGCTAAAAAGCTGTTTAACTCTGACTCTAAACAAAATGTTGGTAAGCCAAATTTTCAAGAGCAATACAAAAATCCAATTACTTCTAATTTGTCATCATTTGTAGGAGGCATGAGTTGGTTGGTTTTTGTAGGAGGCATGAGTTGGTTGGTTTTTGTAGGAGGCATGAGTTGGTTGGTTTTTGTAGGAGGCATGAGTTGGTTGGTTTTTGAGAACCATTTATGAATAACAATCTTGAGTGGTGTCAAGTTAGTTCTAAGAAATGGGGAAAATATAGCTCTTACAGAAGATTTAAATTCTAGGTTTATAAACTACAGGTATTTAATGATCCAGCCAAGAAAGCGCTAAAAATTATTCAAGATTACTTTAAAGTGTGCATTAATGAAGCATTGAAGCAAGATATTCTTCTGTCAATAGCAGAGCATAGAACAAAACATTAAGTTTGTACCAAAAAAATTTTGATTAATTTTTGAAAAATACAAATTAATAGTTAATAGTTAATTATTTAGATTTTTTTAATGTGATTTTTTTATTTAGACATGCAACAATGATTGTGGGAAAAACAGGGGCAGGAAAAAGTGTAATATGGCGTACACTTCAAGCCACTCTTACGTCTTTGAAAGGCCAGCCTGGATTTAATAGTGTTAAAGTAACAAATTTTTTTTGTTAAAAAAGTGTTTAAGTGCTGTGTTATTATTGAATATGTTATTACATATTTTCTATGTTAATTTATTATTATATTATATTTCAGGACTTTCCAATTAATCCAAAAGCTATTTCTCTTGGTGAGTTATATGGAGAATTTGATTTGCAATCAAATGAATGGACAGATGGCATTTTATCATCTGTAATGAGAAATACCTGCTCAGGTTTTGTTCATTTTTATTTGTTAACATTTTATATTTTAATACTTTAGGTGCATGTGCTATACAGTTTTCTACTTTTACAGGCACACTAATTCTATCTTATTAATTGCTTACAAATTTTATCAAAGTTTCATAATCCATCACAATTTTTTACTTTTTTTTCCTCTTTAACCATGTCATATATATACTACACTTGAAACTAGTCTCCTTTAATTACAAAGCACTATTTGGTACTTACAAACCACTTGTTTGTACTCTAAGAAGTGGTTTGTAAGTGGATTACTACTTTTACTTTTTAAAAACAAATTCAAACTTATAATAAATATCTTTAGTTTGTATTTGTTAAAAACTGTTTTTTTAATATTCATTGTATTACAGAGATACATATTTCTGGGTAATCGAGACACATTTCTGGGTAATTTTTATTTCATGTGTACAAAAATAATAAAAATCACAGCATATACAGAGCTCATTTTCAAAAACAGGGTAAATCCAAATTTTGGG